AACAGGGTGTATTTTAAACAAAGGTTGCATTTTAATAAGGCCAGAGGGTGGCATATCGCAGATAGCTGTTGATTTTTAACTGCAGTGTTTAGCGTTAAACACAACGTCCTGCCATGGCAACATGGCTGCCAAGAGCTCCCCCCTCAGCGCTGCCAGCCAACCTGGAACTGTTTTATATGCAAAGCTGTCGCAAACTAGAAGTAAATTGTAATTAAGGGGAAGAATAAAACAATAATATGGCTTTACATAACAAGGTTAAAATAACTGTGTCAGAACAGCCTGTGCAGGTCTCCCCATCAGCATCATCATCACACGGTAAAGGAATAAAGGAGCTAGGCTAACCAGAACATGTAGGCTAAACTAAGGCTGATTAACAAACAGGTTAGTGGACCTGTGTGAACCTTCTGCAACTCTGAATATTTCTCCATCTGTCAAGACTGCAGCCTTTTGTTTATGTTTGTGTAGTGCTTGTCTTCCTAGTTCAGTTTACTCACAAAAAAACATGCACCAAAACTATTTTTCTTGCAGATTTTGTTGCTGATCTTGTCCATTTTCAGGGAGTGGCATGATACTTTAAAAAAAAGCTGCAGCAGTTTCTTTTAAATGTTGCAGGTTTTGGATAATATTTGCTTCCTAAATCAAAAAAAACCATTGAATTTGAATTAAAATCCCAAAATGCAAAGCTGCTTTAGCAACCAGCAAACAGCGTCACCAAAAGCTCCAGGCTTAATGTTGTTCAAGCTTATTTAATTCAAAATTAGTTTGGGAATATGCATCCTTAAAACCTTTAGGTGCCTCCTGCATTGCCTCATCTTAACACCCTGTCTAGTTTCATTTCAGTTTTGTGCTCTAATGTTGCATATTCTTAAATTAATTTGTATTTAATTATTTGGCCACACACAGAAAACTGTACTTCGCTGCATTTGCTTGCATGTTCAAAGGTCTACCATTCGTTTCAAAATACTGTATGTCTTAAATTACTTCTTATATTAATGAAGTATTGCCTTTTTGGATGAAATGCGTTGCAGTGCCTTTGTTTGTCCTCTATGACACTGGAGGAGGTTGAAGGATCAGTCTGCATCTGTCATACATATACTCTTGTTCCACCGCTGATTTAATTTTAATTAATCTTTGGAGCCAAAAACAGCGCTACAGCTTCTGTTGAGACTTGGTGCATGTTTACTTGTTTCCACCTGCAAAAGTTTTCAATTTCTGCTCCTTCGTTTCACTTTTCTTGTGCGAAATAATACAAACGAAACTAATTTTCCATTCATTTTACCAATGCAGCACGAAGGCTCATCTATGTTTGACAGAGCGTAGGAGGACAAGGTGACTGAAACGCTGGATAAATATGTACATGCACCTTGGCTGTGTCATGGCGTAATGTACACACGCACTTTAAACTAGTTAGGCAACAGGGGAAAAGAACGTGAACCTTCAGCTAAAGATAACCACCCAGCTAGAGTGACACATTTACAGTTTGTGCAGCCAAATCATGTGTTTTTACAATGTCAACCAGAAAATGACTGATGTTAGACATTGTTTTCACCAGATGTGACACTGTAGTCCTGGGAAAATCTCACAAATGTCAGCTTTTGTTTTGACCACCAACTATTTCAAGGCTATATAAACAGAGTTGAAGTTTCATAAGACGCGTCCCAGTTCAGGGTCTGGATCCCCCGAAGGAAAAAGCCCATTAGAGCGCGTCCTTCGGAGGACATAAAGGGAAAAATAATTTAATTAAAAAAGAGAGAAGACTTTGGTGTGGAACCCATCATTTTGATTGATTTATTAAGATGGAGCCCAATACATAGCAACCTTTTCAAGGTCCCCATAGACTGGGCCTTGACAGGTAACGTTGTTAAAATACCTTTCTGCTAAGATGCTCATTGGATGATAGAAACTAATCACAGGAGTGCACAAATCTGAAAATGGCAGCATAGCATTTTAGTGCGCAACAGGGGACACAAAAAATGGTACATAAGCCTGCTCAGTCACAGTCAGGTGCTGTAAATATAAGAAGAAGACAACTTTCTGTTGGCTCATCGCTCATCACTATCAACATACATGGCTGTATATGAATTAAGAAGTTCGGAGGCCTGTGGCAAAAAGTTTGCTCTTACTTACCCCGCATGCTCTCTCTGAACCCTGTTGTCCCCAAGTTCATGTACAAGTTCAGGGCAAACAGCAGATAAGTGGCAGCTTTATTACGAGGCCAGAAACCAAGAGACCATAAATAAAATAGACTAAAATAACACAGAACTTAATAACTAGATCTACACTGAACAAAATTATAAACGCAACACTTTTGTTTTTGCCCCCATTCATCATGAGCTGAACTCAAAGATCTAAGACTTTCTCTGTGTACACAAAAGGCCTGTTTCTCTCAAATATTGTTCACAAATCTGTCAAAATCTGTGTTAGTGAGCACTTCTCCTTTGCCGAGATAATCCATCCACCTCACAGGTGTGACATATCAAGATGCTGATCAGATATTGCACAGGTGTGTCTTGGGCTGGCCACAATAACAAGCCACTGGAAAATGTGCAGTTTCACTGCATTGGGGGGACCGGGGAGGTCCGGAAACCAGCCAGTATCTGGTTTAACAACCATTTGCCTCACACAGTGCAACGCATCTCCTTCGCATAGAGTTCATCAGGTTGTTGATTGTGGCCTGTGGAACGTTGGTCCACTCCTCTTCAACGGCTTGAGAAATTGTAGTCAGGTCAAGACCCCGATAAGGATGAGGAGCATGCAGATGAGCTTCCCTGAGATGTTCCTGACAGTTTGTGCAGAAATTCTTTGGTTATGCAAACCGATTGTTGCAGCAGCTGTCCGGGAGGCTGGTCTCAGACGATCTTGGAGGTCAAGATGCTGGATGTGGAGGTCCTGGGCTGGTATGGTTACACGTGGTCTGCGGTTGTGACTGCTTATGGTAGAGAAATGAACATTCAATTCACGGGCAACAGCTCTGGTGGACATTCCTGCAGTCAGCATGCCAATTGTTCGCTCCCTCAAAACTTGCAACATCTGTGGCGTTGTGCTGTGTGATGGAACTGCACATTTTCCAGTGGCCTTTTATTGTGGCCAGCCTAAGGCACACCTGTGCAATACCCATGCTGTCTGATCAGCATCTTGATATGCCACACCTGTGAGGTGTTGCATTTATTTTTGTTAATTTTGTTCAGTTAATATAAAAGTACCCACCTTGGTTGACATTGTACTTTAGGGCTGCAAATCTGCAGATAATCAAGCCACCGAAACAAGGTGCAACCAGTTGTCATGCTGGACAAGTGGCTACAAATATACCACACAAGATAAATATATCCATTAAAACTCTTTCATCTGTAATTAACTGTGATTAACAACAAGTCACAACTCTAGCTTTCACACCTGACCTTAAAAGACACATGAAAAAGTTCACTGGTTCCCAAAGGATAGGGGGCGACTGGGTCCTTGAGGAACAAACCAGTGGTATCCTTCAGGCAAAAGGATGATGCACTTCTTGATGCACTTCTCTCATAATAATTGACATGTTATGAAATATTCAGTCTTGAAATGCTGCCTGAATTTGGATGTTGCAAGGGAACTTAACCATTTCCTTCCCATTTATCTGAGTTGATTGTAATATTTGTAAAGATACATGGAGTCAACAACACTGTAATATATGTATTTATTTATTTTAATTAATTGAAAGGGTGTAAATGTAGATATATTTAGTAAGTTTATTGCACATGTATTGATTTATTTAAATGTATTATTTATTTTTAAATGTAAATGGTATTATTCATATTATAGTAAATGTATGTATGTATTCATTTATTTGCTTTGATTGTAAACATGTGAATGTAAATAGCTTTAGTAATGCCATGGTACATGTATTTATGTATTTAAATTTATTGTAAATGTGAAAATGTAAATAGATTAATCAATGTTATAGTCAATGTACACTCGAGTTCATGTATTTATGTGAATGACTTTTAATATTTGTACATGTAAATGTGATCACAAACACTTTGGTTATGTATTTTTTTATTTATTTATATGCATTGTTATATTTGTAAATGTAATCATGCATACTATAGTAAGTGTATTTATTTATTTGTATGTATTGTAATATTTGTAAATGTAAATGAAATCATAAAACTATAATATATATATTTATTTATTTATATGCATTGTTATGTTTGTAAATGTAATCATGCATACTATAGTAATTATATTTATTTATTTTTATGTATTGTTATATTTGTAAATGTAATCATGCATACTATAGTAAGTGTATTTATTTATTCATTTATTTTTTTTGTATGTATTGTAATATTTGTAAATGTAAATGAAATCATAAACACTATAATGTATATATTTATTTATTTATATGCATTGTTATGTTTGTAAATGTAATCATGCATACTATAGTAATTATATTTATTTATTTTTATGTATTGGAATATTTGTAAATGTAATCATGCATACTATAGTAATTATATTTATTTATTTTTATGTATTTGAATATTTGTAAATGTAATCATGCATACTATAGTAAGTGTATTTATTTATTTATATGCATTGTTATATTTGTAAATGTAATCACGCATACTATAGTAAGTGTATTTATTTATTTATTTTTTAATGTATTTTAATATTTGAAAATGTAATCATAAACACTGTAGTTAATGTATTTATTTGTTTATTTGAATGTGTTGTAAATATAAAATACATTCTTAATCGCTACATTGAATCTACTGTTATTGTTATTAGTACATTTCTTTTGTAAACAAAATTATTTCAATATTGTAGTCTAACCGGATGACATTGAAAAAGTCCTCCTTAAGGTGTTCCCGGATGGAATGCAGTTTCCCAGTCATTCCTCGTCTGCGGTGTCGGTTACAGTTGGCCCACATTCGGACCACCTTAAATATTTCTGCTCTCGCGTTACACGCTTCTTCACATGTACACACTCAAACCACCGCGGGAGCGCGCGCGGCGGCGGCACCAGCAGCCCTGTCAAATCACAACGGGGGTGACGCACAGGCAGAGGACTTACATAAAACTCCTCCGAGGACTTCTCGGGCTCTTTTTAACGTCGAAAAGTCATGATAATCCGGTGTGGAACTACTTGAACGTCGGGATTATGAACAGATGTGGTAGTTTGTTAACGTCTGGCGGCCGTTTGGAGTAGCTAAAGACGTTAAATAGCCGTTTTTCTCTCCAGCTCAGTTGCGAGCGAGACGGGGAACGTGAAAGCAGCCGAGGACGGACGTTCAGGGGGATTTTCTTCTTACCGAGCTGCTTTTCGTTACATTATTTTGTCGTTAATCGAGTGATGTGAGTCTTGTGGAGCCGTTTGGATCCGTTAACGTTGTTACAGAAACTAATCGGGATAAAGCCGCTTTCTTTGCCAAGTTTTGTTTGTATTCACCATGCTGGGGAACTCGGCTCTCTATGCGGTGAAGAAACGGAAGAAGCCGGTTCAGAAAATGTAAGTCAACAACCACAAACACACATAAATCCCTGTAATGTCCCGGTAATATGCATAAAGTATCTCGAAGTGTGTTTAACAAACAATGTTTTTACTGTACTTCATGATCTCGTTGGCACGTCTGTAATATTCATTGAATATCCTGAAGGCACTATGAGTGTGTGGTGACACTACTCTTTGTTGTTGCCTACTTTTACTGTAGTGCTTTTGTAATACTACAGTTACAAAACTGTGCTTGTGGTGCAGCACTGAATGTATAACGACCATGCCACATGGCATATAAGATGTATTATGTCCTTAAAAACATCATGCATAACGACTTTTTGATGCCTTATAATCGTTTTTAATGCATTCACACAGCTAATACTTTGCACATTATAGAGATGGTTCTTCTTTAGGTGGTTACAGCTGTGCAAAACATCCATACTAATATTAAGTCAGTATGCATAACTGCCTGTGTTACGTGGTAATAACACTTGCAGGAGGTTACTCTGTGTGTGCAATAGTAGCCACATTGTCCTTAGTTGAAGCCATAAAGTCTATTTTCTTTGCTGTGGTTATGCAATGTTGGCCAGCCAGACCGAGGTAATGTGAAGTGCTGAAGTCCAACAACACTGCAGGCCTATCCAGCATGGAAAAATAAAGAAAACTTGCTTCAGTATTATTTAAATCTAATTATACCATTCGTGCAGCTGGGCTTCCTAGACTGATTTGCACAAATGTGCAAATGGTCTAAATTCTCTAAAACTGTTGAAACATATTTTACTTATTCCTCTTTTTCCTCCAAAGAAGGCCTTTCTGAGTTTAATGTATTATTTATGTAGTTTTTGTTTGAGAGTGCTCTGTAGGTGGGGAGTTTTGGAGTGGAGAGAGTGAAACCCCACATCAGTCCAATTATTATATCACTTTCTTATGATTCTACTTTTGACTGAAGCAAATGTATATTTATACTGCATCTGTTTAAATAATGCATCTGTGTTCTGCTGGGTTTCTATTCGAGAGCCCCTGGAGGGCCCTAGACCACAATTTGACAACCGCTGCTGCATAGTGTATCACCCAAATGTACACTAGAAAAATGCCTTTTGATCTAGGAGAAAGCCGTGTGGGACTAGCCCATGCTTTATAGCCTATAGGCCTATTTTTTTTTAACCGAGCCGAATATATGGACTTTTAATGGTTCTGTAAGGAACCGTTTATTAATGTTTTCTTTACCACTGTGTCTATACACTGATTTCTCACAGGACTTTTGGGGTGTTTGTACTTCTGTGCTGTGTTTCTCAGTTTCTCAAGACCTTCTAGAACTCCTTCACCTCTAGAGGTCAATTTTAGAGCAAATAAGACATTAGGTTCCACCTAACACCTCCATAACAACACCACTAATCGTTGTGAGATGTCTATATCTTTCTACAGTGGACCTTCAGGTTAAAACTGGACCTATTTATGCAAATGCAAGGAAACCTTAATAAAGGTCAAAAGGTTAAGCACCATTCTCAAATTGTTCATCTTAGAACCTTAATGGTGCTCTTTAATGCATAAGTGTTCTTCCATTGACCTTTGATACTGCTGCAAAGAACTATTTACAAAAGTTTTCCATAGCATTGTATTTTTGTGGTTTCAGTTACACTTAGATCCATCATGCTGCTATAAACCAATTAGAAGGGTTCTCTAAGGCATTAGGATTTTTGCTAGTCCTTTCATGGAGAGGTTCTCTAAGGCACCATGTTTTTTGCTAGGTGTTATAAACCAATTAGAAGGGTTCTCTAAGGCATTAGGATTTTTGCTAGTCCTTTCATGGAGAGGTTCTCTAAGGCACCATGTTTTTTGCTAGGTGTTATAAACCAATTAGAAGGGGTCTCTAAGGCATTAGGATTTTTGCTAGTCCTTTCATGGAGAGGTTCTCTGAGGCACCATGGTTTTTGCTTGGCGTTATAAACCAATTAGAGGGGTTCTCTACGGCATTAGGATTTTTGCTAGACCTTTCATAAAGAGGTTCTCTAAGGCACCATGTTTTTTGCTAGGTGTTATAAACCAATTAGAGGGGTTCTCTAAGGCATTAGGGTTTTTGCTAGTCCTTTCATGGAGAGGTTCTCTAAGGCACCATGTTTTTTGCTAGGTGTTATAAACCAATTAGAAGGGTTCTCTAAGGCATTAGGATTTTTGCTAGACCTTTCATGGAGAGGTTCTCTAAGGCACCATGATTTTTGCTAGGTGTTATAAACCAATTAGAGGGGTTCTCTAAGGCATTAGGATTTTTGCTAGTCCTTTCATGGAGAGGTTCTCTAAGGCACCATGTTTTTTGCTAGGTGTTATAAACCAATTAGAAGGGTTCTCTAAGGCATTAGGATTTTTGCTAGACCTTTCATGGAGAGGTTCTCTAAGGCACCATGGTTTTTGCTTGGCGTTATAAACCAATTAAAGGGGTTCTCTACGGCATTAGGATTTTTGCTAGGTGTTATAAACCAATTAGAAGGGTTCTCTAAGGCATTAGGATTTTTGCTAGTCCTTTCATGGAGAGGTTCTCTAAGGCACCATGTTTTTTGCTAGGTGTTATAAACCAATTAGAAGGGTTCTCTAAGGCATTAGGATTTTTGCTAGTCCTTTCATGGAGAGGTTCTCTAAGGCACCATGGTTTTTGCTAGGTGTTATAAACCAATTAGAAGGGTTCTCTAAGGCATTAGGATTTTTGCTAGTCCTTCCATGGAGAGGTTCTCTAAGGCACCATGTTTTTTGCTAGGTGTTATAAACCAATTAGAGGGGTTCTCTACGGCATTAGGAATTTTGCTAGACCTTTCATGGAGAGGTTCTCTAAGGCACCATGGTTTTTGCTAGGTGTTATAAACCAATTAGAAGGGTTCTCTAAGGCATTAGGATTTTTGCTAGACCTTTCATGGAGAGGTTCTCTAAGGCACCATGGTTTTTGCTAGGTGTTATAAACCAATTAGAAGGGTTCTCTAAGGCATTAGGATTTTTGCTAGACCTTTCATGGAGAGGTTCTCTAAGGCACCATGTTTTTTGCTAGGCGTTATAAACCAATTAGAGGGGTTCTCTACAGCATTAGGATTTTTGCTAGACCTTTCATGGAGAGGTTCTCTAAGGCACCATGGTTTTTGCTAGGCGTTATAAACCAATTAGAGGGGTTCTCTAAGGCATTAGGATTTTTGCTAGACCTTTCATGGAGAGGTTCTCTAAGGCACCATGGTTTTTGCTAGGCGTTATAAACCAATTAGAGGGGTTCTCTAAGGCATTAGGATTTTTGCTAGACCTTTCATGGAGAGGTTCTCTAAGGCACCATGGTTTTTCCTAGATCCTTCATGGTGCTATAAATACTTTACAGAGGTTCTCTGAGGCACAATGGATTTTCCAAGACCCTTCATAGGAAACCCTTTAGAAAGGTTCTCTAAAGCACCATGCTAAGATGACTTGTTCTAGACCCTCCTTGGTGCTGTAAAGAACCCTTTTAGAACAACAGAGCTCCTCACAGTGATTTTACCAGTTTGTGATTTTTAACTTTAACAAGCCAGACGGAGTGTTAACTGCTCCATACAGAACCACAGGCCCGAGCAGAGAACCACGGCAGAACCCTGCCAGAACCGCGGTTTCAATGTGTGTGTGTGGTACTACCTGCATTAATCATAATCAGGACGTGGAGCGGGAGCGCTCTCACGCGATGTTTCCACGAGGGAGGAGGGAGGGAGGATGGCGTAATCTGAGCCTCGTTCTCCTCCTCCTCCTCCTCCTGCCACAACATACTTTTTTCCTGTCTTTCCTTCTGTCTCTGTGTGTTTTTTTTGAGGGGGGGGTTGTTTCTTTCCTCCCTCCCTCAACACAAATTAACATAGTTCTGTGTCACGCGAACGGTTACATAAGTCTGCCATGTTCTCTCGCTTTAGTTTTTCAGGAAAAGTTTCTCTGGGAGTTTATCTTGCTTTTCTTTTTTTTAGGGAAATGGTGTCGGGAGAGTGAGTTATGAGTGTGAGAGAGCGAGAGAGAGAGAGAGAGAGAGAGAGAGAGCGAGAGTCTGTCTACCCTGAGGCGCTTCACCTTCATGTTGGCACTGCATTGTACAACTAGAACATATAAATGTATAGTAATGTTTGTGTGTGAAGGAAAGACTTGTACATTATTAAATACAGTCGCTAAACAAAAACTAAAAACTTGATAGACAGATAACGCTAAATGGCCAAAAGTATGTGGACGTGAGTGATGTCCAGCGCTGATGCTGGTGTGAGAAGTTCATCTCAAAGGTGTTGAGGTTAGGGATTCGTTTAGACTTAAGTGTTTTATTCACAAAACATTAAAATACAAGTACAATCTTAAGAAATAATCCAGATTTGTAAAACGGGACACCCTGAAAAAGCTATCTGAAGCTTGTATATAGGGGCCCAGACACCAATAGTAGACATGTATTTGAAGTACTAACATATTGCCTAGATAAATAATACAAATAAATAAAGCACATGTAATCTATACTACTACATCCCTAATCCTAATTAGGCAGTGATCCAGAGAAATACCCAGATCGCATAGATCAACAAATCCAATCTGTCGTCCTCAATCTCTCTTAGATTGTTTTTCTGACACTACAAGGAAAAGACAAAAAACGGTGACGTATACAAACATGGGCAACCTCAGTAACATGGCGGATAACTTAAATGCCCCAAAAAGTGGATATACACTTAACCAAAGTCAACAAAGCGATCGCCAAATGCAATATTTACAGGGGGATATTTACGGCAAAAATAGGGGGGGGACAACACTTGCTTAAATATTTATCTAACGTAAAGTAAAAACCTAAGGTGTCTTTGCTTATATTATATATTCTGTGACATCACAGAGCAGTGACAGAATATGTGGTGGAAACCCTACAAACCCTGTCAGCACAGTCGAAACAGTCGAATCTCTGTGGTTTAGGTATGAGGCTGAGTGAAATAAAAACAGACCCAGCCTCTCAAACTAACCTCACAAGGAAAGGACTCAGATTTGGTCTTTATCAATGATAT